GGGTAGAAGTGCTTAATAAAACCATCTTTTTAATAAATCCAACAAGTTCATTATTTGGAAAACACATGTTGGTAAATATTTATATTTTTCTTTTGTATAAAGACAACTCCTCTGAACACACATCATAACATTATTATTTGTTTAAAATATTATCTTCAAAAGAGGACAGAAAGAAATTGAAATCATTCAAGCCAACATTTAAAAATACAAATTATCTCTCTATACGATTACTCAATAATTTATTTGTTATATACCACTTTTCTCAGATCTTTAAGACTTAACAAATAACAATAATGCAGCCATAAAAGCATACAATGAACACAAAACATTTAATAAAATAATTCCATAAAAAACTATTTCAAAGATCAGTTAAAATATAGTTTAAAAACCCTTCTCAAAATTTGAGAGTAAGAAGTTAATTGTACTTCAGAAAAGTGCATAAGAGAAAACCCTTTTATGAACAAAAAGACAAACAGGCCTTTCTGTTCTTAAAATCAGAAGATGAACTTCAGCAAGTTTTAATAACTAGATAATTTCATAACAAGCCAATATTTCCTTATGTATAGCTTATGTATTTGATTTGATGTATGTTTGGGACATTAAAGTTGATATTAGTTATCTTGAATTTAACCAGAATATACTTGGTAAGCACTGCAGTTCTTTCAATACTGGACCAATATAAGATCAATACAATATGTTAGTAGGGTAATACTTCTCCCACTGTATTTGCTTTTCAAAAATATGTCACACTTGTCTAAGTGTGATGTAAACCAGGGAAAGAAAAGAGTTGCCAAATCACTGACATTAGAAATTGTAACTGGCATGCAGAAGTTCCAATAAGTTATTGAGCAAATGGAAGAAGGCCTCTGTAGCAACTATAGTGTTAAATCTTAGGGCAAACACATAGAGTGTATGAGAGGATCAACCCACGCAAAATGAAAATACCCATCCCTCAATATAAAGTGCCAAATGGATTTCAAACTGAAGCCAAGCTAAGACAATGTATCTTGGCAGTGAGTTGTCTATTTGGGCCAGGGAGAAAATCAAAATGGCCACTGCAACTGTATGATTGAAACCCCACCCCTAATGCACATAAAAGGAGTTGGGCTTCAGTTGTGTAGTTGCAACATCTGGACTTTTTTTGATAACTCATACACCCTCTTGATTTGAGGCAAAACAAAAGAAACAATCTGTATTTGTAATAAGAGCAGTTACAGAAAAACCTTCAAAATTGGCTGACCTTATGTTATGGCTCTTAGGACTTTAACAGGAAGAACTAGCATTATGTACCATTCTTGGAAAAACTGGATTCTTGAACACAGTACAAATGCATTGCAGTCTTATTGGCTGTCTTATTCTGAACTAAGGGAAGATTTCTAAGACATCTCTCCTACATGTGTTATAACTGATTATAGATTTTATACATAAAATATTCCTCTGGACTGATTTAATATTACAGACATGATCAACATTCCTTTGAAAGTAGGTTGTGTGGGGTGACTTTGATATGCCTCAGTGTAGCACTTTGTGGTGCAAAGATGATACAATGTGCAAGATACAAGAAGTAATACAATGCATCTCACCAAGATAAAGAAGCAATACAATTTGCTTTGATGAGGCCGTTCATGCTGCTCACAAATCTTGTCTGCCACTTGTAATAGATAGGAGAAACTTCTGCACATGCATAACACACCCAAGCAACACTTCTTGCAAACATAGAGGAAACTGTGTGAGAAACCTCAGAGAACTGTAAAGCAGAAAAACATGACTGTTTCCGTTTTAGAAGGCAAAGGGCTGTTTGGGGAAAGGCATTCTTTCACATCTTTATTAAAAGCAAATAATTCTCTGAAAGATCTGCACATTCCAATTAGAGACTATTGCAGAAATATGAATATACATATGTACTGAATGTTACATTTTTGTCTCAAAACGTTTGAAACCAGAAAAAATGTTATCAAAGGACTGTTGAAGCCCACAAACTCTTTAACTATGGTATCATTGATGTACATGGAACTCTCTTAAATATTTTATAACAGAATCACAGAGTTGGAAGGTCTTCTAGTCCCGCCCCCTGCTCAGGCTGAAAGCCCTTTATCTTTTCAGACAAATGGTTGTCCAATCTCTTCTTAAAAACTTCCAGTGTTGGAGCATTCACAACTTCTGGAGACAAGTTGTTCCACTGATTTATTGTTCTGTCAGGAAATTTCTCCTTAGTTCTGCTTGATTAGTGTCCATCCATTGCTTCTTGTCCTGCCCTCAGGTGCTTTGGAGAATGGGTTGACTCCCTCTTCTTTGTGGCAACCCTCTAGATATTGCAACACTAACATGTCACCCCTAGTCCTTATTTTCATTAAACTAGACATATTCAATTCCAGCAACCGTTCTTTTATGTTTTAGTCTCTAGTCCACAATCATCTTTGTTGCTCTTCTCTACACTCTTTCTAGAGTCTCAACATCCTTTTCACAATATGGCAATCAAAACTGGATGCAGTATTCCAAGTCTAAGTGTGGCTTTACCAAGGCATTATAAAGTGTTATTAACACTTAATGTCAACTTAATCTATCCCGCTTTTAATGCAGCCTAGGACTGTTTGGGTTTCTTGGCAGTTGCAGCACACTGTTGGCACATACAGTATTTCAAAGTGATTGTCCACTAGGACTCCAAGATCTCTCTCACAATTACTATTGAGCCAGGTACATATACTATACCTGTGCATTTGCTTTTTCTAGAACTTTACTTTTCTCACCATTGAATTTCATTTTGTTAGATAGGGCCTAATGTTGAAGTCCATCAAGTCCTTCTGTATCTTAAACCTATTTTCTTGAGTGTTGGCTATTCCTGCCAGTTTGGTGTCATCTGCAGATTTGATGAGTTCCCATCTATCATCTAAATCATTGATAAAGATATTGAAAAGTATTGGGCCTGACAGAACCTTGGGGTATCCCACTGCATACTTCCCTCCATATAGATGCAGTTCCATTGAGGACTGCACATTTTGTGCAGTTGGTCAGCCAGTTTTAAATCCATTATTAATTTGATGGAGATGGGCAGTTTAGAAATATGAAATACAAATACATAAATATAGTTTGGCTAGTTAACAAATTATTATCTAGAATACTAAATAAGAATGATTCAGACATTAGTAAAACCATCTGCTTGATAGAAGTCTAGCGAAGTTCAAAAAGCAAATGTTCATGTGGAACATGTATGGATGTCTGCCCTGTGACATAATTTTTTATGCCTACTGAAGTGAAAAATTGAAGATTGCACAAGAATAAATCATGATTTGTTCCATTGGCTCCATTGATGAGTAGGCCATTTTTACCCTCCTCTCACACAAGGTTGCATTTTTTTTAATGATATTTATTACTGTGGCTTTTAGATTTTTATTTGTTTTAGCATGGCTATTTCATTTATTGCTGTTGACTGGCCAGTCCCTTTGGGGGAAATGGGTAGTTGTATAAATTGGTTAAATACATTTCATTATAAAATTAAATGATTAACTGTGTGTTTGCTAATCTAGTTAATAATTCCTCTTTCTGTCATGGTATTTAGTGATAATTTGGAAGGACTCCATTCACCCAAGTATACTGGGATAAATCTATACAGCCCTGAGGCTTCAAATTGTACATATTAGTACAAAATAGCAAAGTGCCTAAACACAATTTTGCTTAATTGTATACTTAGAACTAGATATGTAAGTTAGATTCAAACAATTTAACAGGTATAATTATGCAGTATTAGGACTGAAAATCAAAATTTGACTTGCTTTATGCCATGTAGATCTCAATTATTTAACAACAAAGAAATGATTTCTCTATGAGGCATTTTGTGTCATTGTGTAACTTCCTCTTAAGATGCTCCAAATTTATATAATACTATTGTATGGAACTAGACATCCCGACATCAATTTTCATCTATTGTTCATGGCACGAAATTACCCTTGTCCCCTCCCCATGAGTAAGTATTATACCAATATGTAGTATTTTTTTCTGTCCACAGCCTCAAGTTGCACAAAATTGTTTTATCATCCGTTATCTTGGGAGTGAAATTCTGTGACTGTTAATAATTGTGCCTAAATGTATATTGTATGTTTCAGATTGATGCAGGGATATCACCTTCCTTCTGGTTACTAGTGTACTGCCATGCAGCCATTTGCCCTTACCATTAGCACTTTACCTTCCTCAGTTCTCTTCACATGTCTTCTAGTTGTGATGCCAACTTCCCTTGTTTTCAACAAATGAAAGAAAACAATAGCAAAGCTGTACTATTTTATGGGGTGGGTGTATGAGAAGCTGTTTCATTCTTGTCTCTCTAACAATGTTCTGAAGTAGAAGCTTCATTTTTTCCATATTACAGTGTCCAGAAAATGAATGATGGTAAACTGGGCTTTTGGTTTTTTTAATTGCCAGCTTAATAGGCCTTAAGTCTCTCTCAGAAGCTGCAAAATCCAGAAGCCTACGGTATGTAAGAGTTCAAGAAAGCTGTGGGAAGCACTGGGACTCACATCTACATTTAAACAGCACCTACCAAGAAACTTATTTTGGGTTTTGCAATTGTCTGAAGCAACTGAGGTGTGGATAGTTCTATTTTTAAAGTTTATTTCTTATCCATTTTCTACAACCCAGATACAATGAAATATCTTCTACAAAGAAATGTAATTATCAAATGTTTTGAAGAAATGGCTAGAACTTTTTTATTCTATAGAAAATTTGGGATGACTTGTTGAGATAATTTTTGCAGATTTTATTTTAAAAATATTAAACATTACAGAAAATGTATTTTTATATATAGGATTAACAGACCAATCCTATGTATATTTATTTCAACCAATGTGCTGTTTACTTTCAGTATAACTCTCAATTACTTAATCATATGATCTGTATTAAATCAGAAGCCTGTTTTTATTTTGATTAAAGTATTTTTATGGATTAATCTCTTCAAATTGTTCTTTGTAAAAGCTACATTCTCACAAACAACATACTGGAAGGTTGGAGACTTAATCTTAAAAGTTTAAATTTAATGTCAAAATACAAGGTAATCATACTCGTTAATATTACATCTTAGAGAAGAACAATTCCTAAAGCAACAAGGACTTGTACACCAACAAGGAAGAAAACCCTAACCCTAATCTTACACGACTTTTGAAAAATATGCAGTTTCAAGCAGCAAACTTTGAACATTACTGTAACTGGTAATTCCGGGCACCCCAATCACATGTATTTCCTCCTGTTGTAAATAGAATTGCACCTCCCTCGTCTGCAGGGTTATCTGTTTTTGTTTCCAAATGTGATATATTAATTTGTCCATCCATTGCCGCCTTTATTTTGGGGTGATGAGTGCCACTTTCTTTTAAAATAAAACGCAGGGATACAGAAGATAATTTATTGTGGCAACTATATGGGTGGAAAAAGCCTCATTCTACTCCAGGCTGTCAAAGAAAAGACACAATGAAACATTATTGCTATAAAAGGAAACCCGCGAAATAAAAAGGTCCCATCAGCTTTCCAGAGGAAACTTCCTGCTTTGCGTCTCTTTTTACGTAGCTCTGTAGATAAAGAGAAAGTACAACGCGCATGATTAAATTTATAGCACATCCTTATACATGAATTTATCCCACGGATTGTTGAGCCTTTATATTCAACGAGGGGCTTGCGGGGTTAAGGTTCCTAAGCTTTTTCTTCAGATCTAACGTCGCATAGTTCAGGGAGCCGAAAGTGTCTGCCTTATCGTGGTGACCTTTAAGATACCTCGAGAGTGTCCACTGCTTTGCTATCCGAGAGCAACGCGCTATCCCAGTCGGTAAAAGGTTCTGCGAGGCTGCGCTCGCCACCGCCTCAGCAGCAACCCCCCTCGAGACCTCATCGCCAACGGTCCGGTAAAAGTAAACTTCACCCGCGGCCGCCGCGTCTCTTCCAAAATATCGCGAGACTACGTTAAGGAAGCCGGGCGCTTCACTTTTCCCTCTCTTTCCTCTTAGCTCCGCTAGCCGGCCGAGCGCGAGATAGGCGCGCGGGCCGCGCAGGGCGGCGTTTTGGTGCGCTGGGAGTGGGGCGGGGGAGCAAAGGAGCGAGCATTCGGCCGCGCGAGGTTCTGTGGGATACAGGCGGTGCTCTGCTTCTCCGCCTCCTGCTGGGTGCGGAGCGGCTCCGCTGAAGCAAACGAGCAAGCGAAAGGCAGGGAGAAAAGGGACGAGACCCGACTAGGGCATGAAGATGGCGGACGCCAAGCAGAAACGGAATGAGCAGCTGAAGCGCTGGATCGGCTCCGAGACGGACCAGGAGCCGCCCGTGGTCAAGCGCAAGAAGACCAAGGTGAAGTTCGACGACAGCGCCGTCTTCCTGGCTGCCTGTTCGAGCGGCGACACCGAGGAAGTGCTGCGCCTGCTGGAGCGCGGCGCCGACATCAACTACGCGAATGTGGACGGCTTCGCGGCACTGCACCAGGTCTGTGTCTCCTTCTCCCATTTCTCCGGGCAGGGCTTCAGGAGCTTCTGCTGGGAAGGAGGAGGCTCTGCCGCCCGGGATGAGATTGAGGCCTGCTTCTTTCTTCCACCTAGGATAGTCTGGCTAGGGTGCTGCTTCCGGAACTTCTTGCCTTTGGGCGCCTTGAGGAGGGCTGTGGCCCTTCGGCGTCGGAACCTGCCTTCCTCCCCCCCACCCCTTCTTCCGACTTTCAGTGGGGAGCTAGCCCGTCTGTGAACATCCTTGTTTGGGTCCCAGGGATGTTGGGTTCTGCTGGCTAAGCTGTACCTGCTGATAAGGCCGGGCCTTGCCTCCCCCCCCCCCCGAGAGACAGGAGCATTTGGTGGTCTTCTTTTCTTTCCTTCGCTGCCTTGGGGCTTCAGAGAGACTTAGTTCTTCTGGGGAGGGGGACAGATGAAGAATGGAGAACTCCCCCGAGCTTTTTATTTGTTTTATTTCTTTAATAGGGCAAGGAGGACGAGGCGAGTCCTTTCACGAAGGAGGTAACTTCGTGAAGTGATGGGGTGATTACCATTGCCAGAATGGGAACATTTAGGGGTTGTCCTTAATGGCTGGCTGGCTGTTTTGCAGATGAGTTGAACGCCTAAACACATCCGTACTAAATGCTGTTCTTAATTTGTTAAAGTTGCTGCTTGGGTTTTTTTTTCTTTTTCCTTGGTTGGTGGCTCTACATTATGGAATATGAACTCGGACCCATTACTGCAGCCCTTTCTATCATTTATAGAAAGTCATACAATTATTAATACAAATTAAAATTGGTTTTGCTTGCAAGAGTTCCAAAAATGACAGTTGAGGAAGGATGAGAAATCAACTGATTCTGAAATGTTCTCAAAATGGATGCTTTGTGGACGTTTAAGTTTTATAGGAGTCTGATAGGAATCTCAAATGTTAGCCAAATAAGGAAAGACTGTGGCAATCCCTAGATAATGTTGGATACTTGAGTTGATGTAGATTTTATTAACAGACCAGGAGCAATAACAACATTATAAACTCACTTTGTGTATATATGTATTTATACTTTAAAAAACAAGTGTAATTACTTGGACAGCTTGATTTTTATTTTGCATGGTGGTAGTCTTGGTAGTTCCTTAAAGGTATAGTAATTAGGATATCTAGAAGAAGTGCTTTTTGCAGTATACTAACAAGTAATGCTTTATTAAGCTATGAAACAGATTTCAATTTAGTCTATTCTTAAAATTCTTGATGATGATACTGGGAGGAAGAAAGCTTTCATGAATAAGTTGATTCAAGATAGTTGAACACATATGTGTTGTGCCCTTAGTATTATGCAAGATTTATAATGGAATTTGTCTTTTGAATTAAATCTTCTATTCTTCCGATATAATTTAATTAGTTTAAAAATACATGTCTTATTTACAAAATGAATTGAACAGTATTATAGATTGCCACTTTTGTTTTAAAGCTAAGTAATGATGTTCTCATTGAACATCATTACTTAGTAATGTTAGACTTTATTAGTAATGTTAGACTTTATTAGTTTACGCAGTACTGAGAGAAAGCCCACTGTAGAGTATACATTGTAATAGAATTTCATATTTGGTCTTTCTTGCTAGTTAGGACTTTATTGAGAAAATTATGTTTCGCACTTCAAACTGAGAGAACTTTAGGATTGAATAAGGTCTAAAATAGTGTTCAGTACATACCTTTTTGAGGTACTAGATATGTTTAAAATAGCTTTTTAACCTATAATCCTGTGATCCCTGGAATGGTATTCTAGATTGTAAAAATGTTACAGATATCCCCCCTCCAAAACAGGTACTCATTGTCTCTTTCTACAAGCTCCTCCAAAGACAATAACTCATGGAGTTTGTGGGTGGGAAGGTAGTATATTCTCTCCTTACGTGATAGAAGAAAAAAGTTTTGTGAATATGAAGAAGACTAAAAAAACTCCTACAATCCTTAGGACCTATATCATTCTTATTCCTCAAGCATTCTCCAGAAATTAGGCAAACCTTAAGGCTGAGGGACATAAATTGTGTTATGTGAAGACCCATAAGAGAAAAAAAAAGTGGAAAAATCTTTTCTCCCCTTTTGTGACATGGTGGCATGAACTTGGCAGGCTTTTGTTAAGATAGCTTTTTTTCTGTCTTTGCATTATATCCTATCCTTTGGTAGCACAGTTCAGTACATTTGGAATTTCATGAATGATGTACATTACTTTATTAAATTAAAGCAATGGTGACATACATTATAGAAATTGGCCTAGCATAACAGATAATTTCTGCTATCTTGCAAAAGAGGGATAAAGAAGATCTCATTCAAAAGGCAGAGTCATTCAAGTCAATTTGGCTACATGACTAAACACACGTGTACATTTGTTTTTTTTTTACAACAGTATAGAATTGATTTGCTGTTTCCTTCTGGGTTGTTTTTTGACTTCCTAGAATAGTCGGCAATCTTCCATCCAAATGTTAACTTGATCTAGCCTTTTTAAAAAAAAATTTTAAAATCACATGAACTTTGTTAAGCTCTACTTTCTCAGACAAAGGATTTCAGAATGTAAGGGATTCAAGTATAAGTGATTTACTGTTTTCAAGCTCAATTATAAGATGGCATATAGAAGACATAGTGATTAAGAAAATGATACATGACTGCAATTGAGATAGACATATATTCAGGGAGATAGCCATTTATGCATATGTGTTTAAACAATTTAGCACATTCAGTGGTAAAAAATGTTGTGAATTGTGCCTTGAAGCAAAGTGTTGATGGTATAAAGGCATGTATTATAATGCTTGCTTAGAAAACAACTATTATATTTGTCCCAGTTGAAGTTCTCTTTAAGTGCATTGTGTTATACTAGTCACTAGGTTGGAAGTTACAGAAGCAAAGAATGTTTTGGGAGTGTATTGTGTAATGATTGTAACCTATTTCTTGAAAAAGTGTTCTGGGTTTGGAAATACAGCTGAGATTCTGATTAGACATGAACATGACTATCCAATAGGTTAGATTCTGAGAAAAATGTAAATGAATTATATATTCATATATAATATTCAATATTATATTAAATATTTCCCTTTTTGATCTTCTCTGTGCCCCAATGCATAAGGCCACATGAGACTTTGTTCACATATATTGCTAAGTAACTGTGCTTATCCATGGTTATCTATTTCAAGTAGGCTTGCACACCTACTAAGCCAAAAGCAAATAAACCATATTGGAGCTTGAACATTATGAACTAGACCATGTTCAATGGCAAGATAGATAATAGTTTTATTTATATTCATTCCAATTTGGGACTTACATTGTACAGATAGCAATGTTGAGGCAGTAGAAATGGAACAAATTAGAGTGATGTTTTGAAACATTTGGGCATGAAACAGTAAAATAACAATTCATAGTTTGTATAACTTGCTTTATAATTAACAGATCAAGCTCTGTTTTTATTCATTAAATTTATATAGCTGTCCATCTCAAATAAAATTTAGATTTTGTATGTTGTGATAAGAAATCACAGAATCCCACTGATTACATTTTTTCCAATTTTTGAATACTTAATGAAAAATATATCACCCATGCAATTATTTCATTTTGTACTAGATAACTCTACAGGATATCTAGTATAAAATATCTGTTACAAACACTCAGTAAAGCTTATCACTAATCAATAGCCTTCATATCAAATTCTGTTAAATATGAACTTATATGTAGTTCAGTTGAGTCTGATAACTACAGCATTACATCTCAAGGTTGACTCAGCCTTCCATCCTTCTAAGATCCATAAAATGAGGAGCCAGCTTGTTGGGGGCAATATGCTGAGCTCTGGTAGTGCAGCAGACTAAAGCACTGTTATTAACATCAGCTGCCTGCAATTACTGCAAGTTCAAATCTCACCAGGCTCAAGAGTGACTCAGCCTTCCATCCTTTCTAAGTTAGGTAAAATGAGGACCCAGATTGTGGGGGCAATAAGATGACTGTATAAATATACAAAAGTATGAAGGCTATTGCTTAACGCATTGTAAGCCGCCCTGAGTCTTCGGAGAAGGGCGGCATATAAATCAAATAAAAAAAAAACTGCTTAAAGAGGACCGCTTAGAGAGGGCTGTAAAATACTGTGAAGCAGTATATAAATCTAAGTGCTATTAACTATATCAAGAATCCTATACAGTGTTCCTATTAATTACTTAGTTCTTTTATTTCAATAACATCTGTTTTACATAAGAAAGGATAGGAATAACAGAGAAATTCAGGAGAAAAAAAGAAATGGTGTTAGTGTTGGAAGTGCTCTTTCTGTGTGTACCCAAACATATTTTGGAATGTTTATTGTGCCACAACTAAGACTTCAGGAGTCACAAATTATGCACTTTTTGCTTTTTATATTTTATTGATTGATTGATTAAATTTGTATGCCCATCTCTCATCAAGCAACTCGGAGCTGCTTTTTCATGATCTGGAATAGAGAAGACAAGGTAGTTTGGATGTTCCAAAAACTCTTTAAGTATACTAAAGTTGTAAGGTAAAAAAGCAGGTTCTTTGAGGGAAAAATATCAGCC